GCAATCAGCTAGCAATCATTAGGCAACTAATGTAAACTGTAGATTCTAGTAGTATCATGCACTGCCTCTTGGTGGTGGTGGTGGTGGTGACAGAGATGACTTTATTCTCCTTGGGTTAAGTCACAGTTGCTCAGATATTGTTACCAGGAATTTTAGTTCAGTTGATCTGGATTCTAATTTGCACTTCAGGCTAAGAATTTTAGGGCTGAGATGTCAGGTTCAGGGAGCCCCATAAATTTCCTGTACCTAGAAAAGAGCTAATATTTATGGAGTAGCTGGGTTTTCAAGGACAACTATATCCCTAGATATGACATTCAGCTGAAAAGAAGACAAAAGTAATGTTCATTAGTCTTTAGCTCTACCCTGTTAAAACCCATACCCAGACTTTCAGTTTCAGCTCTGACATGTAAAGAATTTGGAAGTCATTGCTCCTATACTTACATCCAGAAAAAACCTGAACAAACTGAGAATCAATGACTTTTATTAGACTCATCAAGAAAACTGAGATCATAGGGCAAATAACCACCCCAAATTCTGGAGGAAAAAATGATCAAATACAGAGAGTCATGGCCTTTCTCTCTTTATACAGAGCAGAAACTTCTGGGGACTTACACAGGTAAAAACACTTAAATGGTAATTTTCTTGAATTGCTGGAGACTGAGTGTGGAATAGTATAAAAGTGAGAAACCCCTGGGGACCTGCTGTGGTATGGGGGAGGTCCCCACACTTGGGCTTTACCTCCAGGAACCCCACCATAGTAACCCCAGTGAAGATCCCAGAAAGATCCCCTTATGCCTCTGGCTTTGGGAAGGGAACTGTGCTCTTGTGAAATACATCCAGAGCCTTCTTCATAACAAAGGACTACACTCTTCAGTGGAAAAGACTTTACTAGAGCCTTATGGCAACTACAGCTGAGGGAAAGGCATTCCTCCTACCCCAGCCCCCTATAAGCTTCTATATAAGGGATAGGAAGGAGCTAAAAGCACTTGTGAAGGTCACAGGAACACAGACCCACAAAAGACTGGAATTTAATCATAAGATTATAGAGCACTTCCTGTCCTCCACACTTTACCACCACACAAACAAGGCTCCAGCAGACAAGGCTCCAGTATAACAGTAGACAACAGCTAAAAGAGGTGCAATATGTAAACTCTCTCTCAGAAAAGTACTTAGGGAAGCTCAAAGTTAAGAAAGGAACAAAAACAAGGACACTAGAGGGATTTGAAGTCTGTGACAGCTATGCAAATGCTATGCACAGTTCAACTCCTAAACAGCTTAAGATAAAACTTTTCACTAAAGGCCTATTTACCTCAGTTCCTATTACCCAATATATCATATCCAGCTTTCAACACAAAATTACAAGGCATGCTAAAAGGCAGAAAAAAGTACAGTCTGAAGAGAGAAAGCAAACATCAGAACCAGATGACTCAAATAGAATGCAGATGTTGGATTATCAGACAAGGAATTTAAAATAACTATAATTAATATGTTAACAGCTCTAATAGGTAAAGTAGACAACATGCAAGAACAGATGGGTATAAGCAGAAATATAGAATCAAAAAGAAATGCCAGAAGTCAGAATCACCGTAACAGAAATAAAGAATATCATTGATGGGCTCATCAATATACTAGACACAGTTGAGGAAAGAATCAGTGAGCTTGAAGATAAATCAATAGAAACTTCCAAACTGAAATGCAAAAAGAAAAAAACATAATGGAACATTGAAGAACTGTGAGATGATTTCAAAAGATAAAACATATGCATAGTTGGAATACCAGAAGGGAAAGAGTAAATTGAAGGTGAAGAAATATTTGAAGTGAAAAATCACTGAGAATTTTCCAAAATTAATGACAGACATCAAACCACTGATCCAGGTATTTCAGAAAATAACAATCAGGATAATTAGGAAAAAAAGTATGCACCTAGGCATATCATATTCAAACTGCAAAAAGACAAAGAAAATATTAAAAGGAACAAAAAAAAATAAAATAAAAAATGCTTACCTGAAGAGGAACAAGGATAAGAATTACAGTGCAGAAACCATGCAAGCAAGACTGAAACATTTAAAGTATTGAAAGAAGAAAAATCACCAACCTATACTTTTACAATCAGTAAAATTATCCTTCAAATGTGAAAGAGAAATACTTTTTCAGATAAACAAGAACTGAGGATATTCATCAGCAGCAGACTGGTCCTGCAAGAAGTGTTAAAAAGTTCTTCAGGGAAAAGGAACAATGAAATAGGTCAAAAACTTACATCTACATAAAGAAAGGAAGAGTGTCAGAGAAGGAATAAATAAAGACATGCTTTCTAGTGCTCTCATCATTTTTGTCCATCTTAGTGTGTTAATAATCATTTTTATATGTGATGTCCAGGTATAGTTTGACCAAACCAGGAAGAGTAAATTTTCATTCTCTTGGTCTAAAACTATTATACTATTTCTATTAATGCAGTCACCAAAAGCATGTAATGATCTCACCTATAAAATATGTTGTATTTTTAAGTATATAATTCTGTTTTCTGATCTTATAAGTGAATTATGCTTCCTAGTTTTGTAGAATATGAACAATATATACTATCAGAATTCTTATTAGAATTCTTTAGGGAAAAAAGCATCAAACCAAAGTGTTAAAAAATATGCTAATCATATATAAATATATTTTCATTATAAAACAGTCAAACAATACAGAATATATACAGAAAAGAAGGAGTGAATCCTTCTTTTTTTATTTTTATTTTTTTATTTCGGCATATTATGGGGGTACAGATTTTAAGGTTTCAATAAATGCCCTTCCCCCCCTCCCCCCCACAAGTCTGATTTTCCAGCAGGAGTGGATCCTTCTTTACAACACACACTCCATGCTCTTCCCCCTCATAGCTAATCACTTAATAGTTTGTATAGACATATTCCATGTTTGCAAAGCACATGTTCCATAAAAGGAAAATGTATTATTCTACAACTTACATTTTCACTTAACTTTGTATTTGGAGTTATTTCCATTATGGTATATATACAGCTACTTCACTTTTGATATATCATACTAGGTAGAATAGTACTTTATAAAATAAATGTACCATTCTTTGTTTAATCCTTTCCCTGTTGATGGCCAGATTATTTACAATTAATTGCTACTATAAGAAATGCTGCATTTAATGGATTATCTTGTACATATATGCTTAAAGCATTATACTGGAGATAGAAAATTCTCACATCAGAATCTGTAGGCCGATGCCTTTTTTAATTAAGACACTATATTAAAGTTTTAATATTAAGCTTAAATAGAAGGGCAAAATCAACAAGAACAAACAAATGTTAAGAATTATATCCTAAAATGAGTCATTAAAAGTAGGGTGACAAGCAATTGAAACTCCTGTTTCAGTATGACTAGTATCTTCTAAGTCACATATGTTTATGTATCAGATTGAGGGACCTCCAAAGGAATACCAATGACCAGGAAAAATGATTATTTTTTTTTAGCCTCTTTATGCTCTGTATTTTAAAATGGAGGTATTGCTACTATTTCTAATATGTGTGTGCTTCAGGACTTGGTTCACAATCTCTGTCCTTCCTTGTTGCTTTCTTTCCTTCATTGAAAAACCAGATAGAGAGCAGCTCCTTTGTGGCAGACTGTGAGCTAAGCCCTGGGGTTACAGGCAGCAAAGATAAAAACATACATACAGATTAGTACTGGTCTGCAACCAACAGAGTGTACCTTGTAATTTTAATGACTCAGTGGCCTCAGTTCCTTCAACTACTGACTGACCACATTGTCTACATGTGCTGAGGATACAGCTGTGAACAAGATAAAAAATGTAGCCCTTCCTTCATGGGACTTACATTCTAACTCAAACTCCCCATTGCTTGGAAGAGAGAGTAAAAAATTTTATAGATTCAGGGGGAAAGAGCACGTGCATTCATTAGGCAGCGTGCAGGGCTGAGAGAAAAGAGTTGAGATCTGAGATCTGCCTTGAAAGAGTACATGGGTAGTGACCCCCTTTCCTGAAAGAGTGGAAGAAGAGCCAGGACTGGCGCTACCTGGTGCCTGACAGTTGACTGTCAGAAAGCAGAGAGGGAGGACTGTGTGACCCCAGGTAGATCCTGACAACGAAAGGCCCTTTTTAGTGGGCAGCTGGGGACAGCGCAATGCCAAAGTGAGTTACCATTTGGAATGAGAAAAAGCAGTGTGGCAGAATGAATGACTCTTGGCACAGACCAATACTTGATTCCCTAGGGTTAGAGGTCTAGGTCAGCCTTTTTGTAGAAAAGGGGCACTGGTGAGGCCTTTATGGGAGACCCCTCCCAGTTCTCTTAAAAGCAGGTGTACTTTCCTCCCTACGTGGCCCCACCAACCAGTGAAAGAAAGCATGGGAAGGCCACCATAGAGACCCAGGGCAGTCTGGCCTAAGACCGCCTCCCCCTCTCCCACTAGTGTCCAGGAGAGAGGGTGAGCTGGCCAGCGAGGGGAAGCAAGCACACTAAGGGTCTACTTAGTATCCATCCGCTGCTCCTCATGCGCTGCTGTTCCCGACCTCCCGTGTCCCCCTACGCCCGTGTCCTGCTACGCCCCCCGCCTCCCGCCGGTCCCTTTTATTGTAGCAGCGCCAGAAATGTGGCGGTGGTCGCCACATTAGGGTCCGCGGGGTCCTACTGAGGCAGTCTAGTGCCAGCCCGCCCCTCAGGCCCCGGGCTGATGGTGGCCCCGCCCACCTCTGGGTCGGAACTACGGTGGGCCCGGGAGGGGGCGTCGAGCCCATTCGCGCAGTATCCCTCCGCCCCCCTTCCCGACACCCTCGAGGCGACTGGCTCTTGCCGCATCCTGCGTAGCCCCTGCCCAGTTTGCTGCAGAGGCGCGGGGGGCGGGCCGCCTTTTCGCAATTCTGATCGCACCACAGAAGGCGGTGGGAATCCGGGTGAGGGAGCAGCCAGAGCAGAGCAGAGCCAAGCGGAGGAGAGGAGGGGGAGGCCGACGGCCTGGGCCCTGAGCCTGTGAAGGCAAGTGGGGGTGTGGTGGGGGGCGTGGGTGGTCCCCTCCCGCGTCGACCCGCTGGCAGCCTGTCCCCCAGACCCTGGCAGCCCGGCGAGGAGGACGCGACGCGATCGGATCCCGTCCCTGAGAAAGGTGCGCAGTGCCCGGGGACCCCTGGCAAAGAGGAGGCGGCGACCTGCGTGGGTCGGGCCTGGCCGAGGGCAGAAGGGGTGGCCAGAGAGGCACCACAGGTTGTCTGGAGGGGAACCGCGCTGACTGCGTCCCAGACAGCTTTGCAGGCGCCGGCGTCCCACCCTCAACGGTGTCTGCCTAGTGAGGTGAAGGCCTCTGTGGGAGAAATGGCGGAGCGGGAGCGTGAGTGGGAGTGGGGGAGCCTGGGGAGGCCGTCTGGGGCAGGGGCTGGTGTCGGAGCCCTGTGACCCTGTGGGTCGAGTTTGCTACTCTGGGCTCTGATTCCAGAAAGGCGCCCGTTGGGCCTAGTGTCCTGATGTCAAAAGTCTACTGTGTGCACAGTTGTTTTGGTTTTCTGCAGAAGTAGAACTGTGAGGGGGTAGATTATGAAGACACCAAAATGAAATAGTCATCTGTCTTTTAATACAACTCTGTTTTATTGCCTTCCATGTTTAAATCCCCACGTTGTCAAATGTGCAAGCAAATAGGCAGGATGAGGAATTGGTCGAATTTCACAGCATGCTTGGGGACATGTAAATAAACAGTATAGTATTAATCCACTTTTCTTCATTCAGAATTTGTTTTCTCAACATGACAATCCACTTTAAATAATATGTTGATATGTGGGAATGGGGGTTCAGAATAGAGGAAATCTTTCTGAAGGGTCAGTTTAGAGCTTTGGAAGTTAATCTGCCATTTCAGTTTCTGGTTCTAGAAATCCATCTCCAACTGCAGTCACCCATCACGGCCCCTGTCATTTTGGTACAGAAACAGTCCCCACAGAAGAATTCAGGACGTTTCTGATGGTCAATATCTGAGTAGCTACGAAAGGTGGGAGACTCCATTTACTTAGTTCCTTATTCTCAAAAAGGAGGTGCTAGAACTCGAATTCTAGGAATCTGTTAACCTGATACTTTTCTGACCTTGTCAACATAGTTTCTTGTTGTTTCACTGAGTGCCTTTCCTTCTTTCTATAGAATGTGACTCTTCTTCAGCTAGAGGACTCTTCTTTGGTGGGAAGGATAGAATATCCTGAGGACCTCTGCTGTATGGGCAGGCTGGCATAGGTGATGAACCAGGTAGATCCAGGTATGCATGGGGAGGGAAGGGATCGTATTGAAGTAATAGTCTCCAGTATTCTCCCTGCCTGCTTTCTAAATACAGTTGCCTATGTTCTACTACCTATTCCTGTACCTCATGTTTTTATTCAGAGAAAGAGATGTGGCCTCTGCTGGGGAAATGGCTGACTTCATAGTTGGAAGGAAGTGTAATCAGATAGGCTACAGATGTTGGGAGGATGGCTGGGGAATCATTGAGGAGGAGCAGACAGCTGGAAAACATATAACATGGCTTTGAATATACAAAAACATACATTATAATCCTTGTCCTGCATGTTAGATCATCTTAGTCTCTTCTGTTTTCTTATTTCTGCCTTTTTTCTATTCATAGATTTGTTCCTTTCTAGATTCCTGTCGAGATCTGTAGGTAGCTGTTCACTTGGAAGTTAATTAAGAATAAGAAGGAGAACGAAAATTATTCATTTGGATCCAAGGTGGGTGTGAGCCTGTGCACCCTGTTGATTGGGGGTAGGGGATGGCTGTTGGCATGATCATATCTTCAAGCTATTGTCTTCCAGCTTTCCAGACACCTCTGCCTTAACATATGTGTACAGGTAATGGGGGTGGGATGAGCCAGGATTGTGCCTATAGGATAATTGGTAGATATTGAGGCAGGAAGTGGGGAAGGAAGCCATGAAGAGGACCAAAGGGGCCAAAAGTGTTACATAACCAAAGCTCTAGATTTGGAAAAGCAGGTATTGGGTTTAGAGTTTAGAGTACAGGTCTGTCTACCAAATACTCAAAATTCCAATCTTGCCTGTATTTTTGTTCATAGGTCTGCCTGTGAGTCAGCTATAGGGCTTATCGACACTGGAAGCAAGAAAGGAGGAAAAAATTGTGCCGGATCAGTGCAGGTTGGTGTAAGACCTCTCTGGATAGATCTATATGGTCTAGTGGTATATATCAGCATGTTGGTCAGAAGGGACTGAACACTCCTTAGCTTCTCTTACTCTCAGCAAGCTTACCTACCATAGTCGTTCCTGTTTGATGGAGAGAAAAGAATGGTAGTGTCTGGGTAGAACATTGTTGAGCAGTAGTGGGAGTGTGCAAGGGACAAAATCAGGTAGCAGCATTTTCTAATTCACTTCTACCACAATCCATTTCTCCTCTCTTAAGTCTTTCTGTGTGGCTATCTGCATAGACAAGCACAGTTAGAGATGACTCAAAGCCCCCATTTCTTTCCTTTACCTCAGGTCCATTTCCAGGGTTGGCTGTGGTAGCTTTGGATTGACAGAAGACCATCACCTTCAACAGCACTTGGGAACCATCATCCTCCCCAGCGTGAGCCTGCCTCTGCCCTCTGTCCATATCATTCACAGAGACAGTGTGTTTGGAAAGGGGACTGTATAACTACTGTACTGACAATTGACTCTAACTCTTGCTACCAAATTTATCCCTGACCCAGTGGAAGAAGATTAAGATATCAACCTGGGGCATATTTGACAACCAAGGCCAAGACTGGACAGGGCCATATAACTGGGCTTCAACCATGACCGGGGCTAAGAATAAGACTAAAGCCAAGACCAAAACTGAAAAAAAGGCTGGTGTACAGGCTAAAGCTGGAACAGAGAAGGAGGCTACGCCTGTAGTCAGGCCTGTAGCCAAGACCCGGGTCAAAGCAAAATCTAAGGCAGGGTCTAAGACAGAGGCAGTGACAGAGATGAAGGCAGTGCCTAAGAACAAGGTCGCTGCTGAGGTAAAGGGAGGAGCCCTGTCAGAGCCTAAGACTGTGGTCAAAGCCATGGCAGATGTCAGTCTCAAGGCTGAGAATGAGGCTACCAGCTCCACATGTAAAACTGAGGTTTGTATTGATGCCTGGTTCTGGACTGGGGAAGAGGCCAGTATCAATTCCTGGTTCTGGAAGGGAGAAGAGGCTGCTAATCGTTCCAGTGCTAAGAGTGAAAATAAAGGCAATTCTGTTGCCCAGGTCTGTGCAGGAGAGTTGGAACCTGTACCTGGGCCCAGCTATAAGTCTAGGTCAGGGGCTGAGGAGGAGGAGGAAGAAAACGTTATTGGGAACTGGTTTTGGGAAGGAGATGATACCAGTTTTGACCTTAATCCTCAACCTGTCTACAGGATAGTTAGGCCTCAGCCTGTGGATGAAATTAATGAAAAAAATAGGCCCAAGGACTGGTCTGAGGTAACTATCTGGCCCAATGCCCCTGCTGTAATTCCAGCAGTATTAGGATATAGATCCCAGGTCCCATCTGAGACAAAGCCTCCTTCATATATTGTTCTGGCCTCAGCTGAGGAAAATGCTCATTCTTTGCCTGAACCTACAGCTTGCTCTTCCAGGAGCACTAACTTATCCGCACAGCCTACCCCTGAGTGCCCATTTGGTTCTGACCCTTGCATCCAGACCATAGATGAGATTAGACGCCAAATCAAGATCAGGGAGGCAAATGGGATTAAGCCATTTGCTTGTCCTTGCAAAATGGAATGCTACATGGATTCTCAGCAATTTGAAAAACTTGTTGGCATACTTGAGTCAACTACTGATCCTCTCATTCATAAAGTAGCACAGATTGCAATGGGTATCCATAAGGTTCATCCATTTGCCCAAGAATTTATTAATGAAGTTGGTGTAGTGACACTTATTGAAAGCTTGCTCAGTTTTCCTTCCCCTGACGTGAGAAAAAAGACTGTAATTACTCTGAATCCTCCTTCTGAGGATGAAAGACAGCGCAAGCTTGAATTACATGTTAAGCATATGTGTAAGGAAACCATGTCTTTTCCCTTGAACTCACCTGGACAGCAGTCTGGATTAAAGATACTAGGGCAACTGACTACTGATTCTGTCCATCACCACATTGTTGCCAATCACTTTTCAGAGCTTTTCAATTTGCTTTCCATTGGAAATCGTAAAACCAGAAATCTTGTTTTGAAATTACTTGTGAATTTGTCTGAAAATCCAACTGCGGCCAGAGATATGATCAATATGGAGGGATTGACAGCATTAAAACTCATCTTTAACCAGCAAGAAGCGAAAGCCAATCTTGTTAGTGCTGTGGCCATATTTATTAACATAAAGGAGCATATCAGAAGGGGCTCAATTGTAGTTGTCGATCACTTGAGTTATAATACACTCATGGCCATTTTCCGAGAAGTTAAAGGGATTATCGAAGCAATGTAAAATGATCCAGAGATAAAAGAGAACATTTTGAACCATCTCCAGACTTGTAGCAAGCTGTACATTCCCAAAGAGCCTTGTGTTATGTTTTGGCTATAACAGTGTACACATCATACATTATATCTTTAACATGATATTACCTGAGACAAACAAGGTTTGAACTAGACCATTTTTGGGGTATCAAATAAATATTGCATCTTGAGCTGAAAACAGTTGATTTTTATCTTGTCTAGGTAGGCAAATTGTTAACATTTTACTTGAGAAAATCGTGAACCATTTATCATAAGTAAGCAAATTTGTTCACTAGTATCTGCTTAGATCCATTTGTGGCTACAAATGACAAAAAAGAAAATATCTTTGAATTAAGGCATATATACACAAAGGTAACTAACAGTACCTAGAGTATATATGTGTGTGTGTGAGTGATACATACTCATTGCCAAATGTGCCCTCTCAGTACATAAAGGAGGCAGGGGTTGCTGTAGGCTGTTTAAGAGGAATTACTATTTTTCCCCTATTCCAGCCATATCAGACACTCATTCTACAAAACAGAAATGACCCAGAATCTCAGACAAAATGTACTGTTTGTTCCTTTTTTATTTAGCTTCTATGTTTGTAATTCTTAAATTGTTAGGCTATTTCATTTGCACCAAAGTCATTTCACAGAGGAGAAGGGAGGAAACATTTTGTGAGTGCCTGTTCTGTTTCAAGACACTTTGTTGGCACTATATTTTACAAGTTTTTTTTTTCTTCTTCTCACAGCAGGCAGTTGACATAGCTATTTTATCTGACACCAGAGCCAGTCTCACCACACTCCCTCACTTTTTTAGTTGGTGGCCTTCAAAGCTCAAAGCTCATAGACTGGTTTTAATGGTTTAACTTTGTGGTGGATGATGTCCCTGCCTGGTGTTGCGTTTATTACCTTCCTCAAAATGCATGTGTCTATTAAGCATTTGAGTATACCTAGCTGGAGGTCAGGAGAAAAGTCTGAAAGAATATATGAATTTTATCTGGCAGTGTCTGGGACATAGTAGGTGCCCAAAACGTTGTTCAATGAATAAGATGTAGATTTGGAGTCATCAGCAAGTGAAATTTGTTATATATCTGTCCTATCCATTTGTACTTTTTTTCAAAGAGCAAGAATCATTCTGTACATTGTTTCATACCCTGCATTTAGAAAGGTAATTGCTTTATTCCTCCTCGTAAAAGCATACCTTAATATTTTTTAACATGTATGATTTATTCTCCTGTGTGTCATAGGAAAAGCCAAAGGGCTTTATCTTTTATTAGTAGGCAAGCCTGGACATTTCTGCAGTTGTACCAGCTAAAACTGTGTGAAATAAACTTAACTAGAGAAATTTAGACCCAGAACTCCAGTTTCAACAACACAAAACAGGAAAGCTAAGAGAGAGGCTGCTGTCTCAACCTACAAGATAGTAGTTTCTGAAAGTCTGTATGGTCCAGAAATCATCCCCAGGACCTTTGGGCTATGTCTGAGTTCTCTAAGACTCATGGTAGGAATTATAGCCCCTGGTTTGAGCTGAAGAGAAAGTCTCTTATGTGTGAAAATATGGCATTATATGCTTTGATATTTTCAGAAAGTTAAGAAACTAAACAAGATCATTCTGTAAATATGTTTGTAACTTGCTCCCCCCTCCACTAACTTTATTGTGAACATCTTTCGATGTTAATAAATATGCCTCTGTAATGTATTTTTGAATCACTTAAATGTTTTTCCTGTGTTAACAGTTGGTGTATTGTGTTGTAATCTTTCATTGTATATTCTCTTAATATACAATATGCACAAATTATTTTGCAAAAATAGAAGTATAGTACTCTGTGATGCCGTTTCCTCTTAATTATCTTTCCAATTTAGTATTATATAGATCTACCAAATGCTTTTCATTTAACAGCTTTATTGAGATATAATTGACAAGTATTAAACTGCATATTGTAAGTGTACAGTATAAGCTTTGACATGTATGTACACACAAAACTATAACCACAATCAAAATAGTGAACATGTCCATCACCCCAGAAGCTTCTTAATGCACCTTTGTAATCCCTCCCTCCTATCTCTCCCTGTGCCCACATCTCAGGCAACCACTGATCTGCCTTCTGACAACATAGAATTGTGTTCATTTTCTATAATTGTATATAAATTGAATCATTCAGCATGTATTCTTTTGGGGGGGAGGGATCTGGTTTATCTCATTCAACATAATTATTTGAGATTCATCCATGTCGTGTGTCTCAATAGTTCATTGCTTTTTATTGCCAAGTAGTATTCTACTATATGGCTTTACCACAGTTTATCCATTCACCTGTTGATGGCCATTTGAGTTGTTCACATTTTGGCTATTACAGTTAAAACAGCTGTGAGTATCTGTGTACAATTGTTTCTATGGATATGTTTCTGTTTCTCTTGAATAAATACATAGGAGTGGAATTGCTGAATTATAGGTATATGTTTATTTTTTTACATTTTCCAAAGTGGTTGTATACTATTGCTATAGCAGTGTATGAGAGTTCTGATTCCTCCACATCTTTGCTAACACTTGGTATGATTGATCTTTTTAATTTTATCCATATCTCATTGTAGTCCTAATTTGCATTTTCCTAATGACTAATGATAGTGAATATCTTTTTGTGTGTATTTGACATCCATATATCTTTAGTGAAGTATGTGTGATCTTTTGCCCATTTTTTAAAAATTGGGTTGTTGATTTTTGTTGACTTTTTAAGTTTTTTGTATATAGTGGATATAAGTCCATTATCAGACATATAATTTGTAAATATTTTCCCCAAGTCTGTGGGTTGTCTTTAATCTCTTAAAAATGTCTTTTGAGTATGCTTACATACTTACATAATGGGTGTGGTATGCACCAACTGGGGGTTGGACACGCTTGAAGTGCTGGCACAGAGGGGAGGAGGGGTGGCAGGGGCAATATATGTAACCCCAACAATATTTGTACCCCCATAATATAATGAAATAAAAGGAGGAAAAAAATGTTTTTGAAGAGCAAAAGTTTTTTTTTTATTATTTCAGCATAATATAGGGGTACAAATGTTAAGGTTACATACATTGCTCTTGCCTTCCCTCCCCCCTCGAGTCAGAGCTTCAAGTGTGTCCATCCCCCTGACAATGCACTTATAATGTGTATGTGTATGTATATATATATATAACCATTCCCTCCCCCCCACCTGCCCGACCCCCAATAATTTTTTTTTTTAACATTTTGGTTAGATTTTATAACTTTGCCTTTACCTAGCAAGGGTTAAAGGTATGCCCTTCCCCTCCACACTGTTCACCACATCCCTCAGATGTGGGTCTATCCCCCCACCCCCCAAATCTCTGGTGGACACCACCACCCTTTGAGCACCATATTGATAATCGATCAGTACCAATTTGATGGCAAGTGCATGTGGAGCCCATTTTTCTGATCTTGTGTCACCTCACTTTGGATAATGGGCTTAAGCTCAATCCAGGATAATATAAGCGGTGCTAGCTCGCTGTCATTTCTTAGACTTGAGTAATATTCCATTGTAAACATATACCAAATTTTAATAATCTAGTCATGAATTGATGGGCACTTGGGTTGTTTCCACGTCCTTGCAATAGTGACTTGTGCTGCCATAAACATTTGGGTGCAGATGTCTTTATAATAGAATGTCTTATGCTCTTTTGGGTAGATGCCTAATAATGCTACTGCTGGGTTAAATGATATTTCTATTTTTAGCTGTTTGAGATATCTCCAAATTCTTTTTTACAAAGGTTGGACTAATTTGCAGTCCCACCAGCAGTGTAAGAGTGTTCCTGTCTCTCCACATCCTCGCCAGCATTTGTTGTTTTGGGATTTCTTGATACAGGCCAATCTCACTGAGGTTAGGTGATATCTCATTGTGGTTTTGATTTGCATTTCTCTAATGATGAGAGATCTTGAGCATTTTTTTTATATGTTTGCTGGCCATTATTCTGCCTTCTTTGGAAAAGTTTCTGTTCATTTCTGTTGCCCATTTCTTGATGGGGTTGTTTGATTTTTTCTTGTTAATTCCTTTGGGTTCTAGATAGATTCTTGTTATTAGACCTTTATTGGAAGTGTAGAGAGCAGATATTTTCTCCCATTCTGTAGGTTGTCTATTCGAAGAACAAAAGTTTTTTTTTTTCATTTCAGCATATTATGGGGGTACAGATTTAAGGTTTCAATAAATGCCCATTTCCCCCTCCCCCACAAGTCTGAGTCTCCATCATGACCATCCCCAGATGTGCACATCTCACTCATTATGTATGTATAACCGCCCCCTCCCCTGCGAATACCCTATTACTGTAGTACCTATGTGTCCACTTAGTGCTTGTTCAGTTAAACCAGTTTGCTGTGAATATATGTAGTGCTGGTTTTTCCATTCTTGGGATACTTCCTTAGTAGTAATGGTCCAGCTCATACCACGGAAATATAAGATGTGCTATATCACCATTGTTTCTTAGAGCTGAAATACGTCCATGGTAACATATACCACCATTTTTTAATCCATTCTTGGATTGATGGCACTTGGGCTGTTTCCACAGACTTGCAATATATGAATTGTGCTGCCTATAAATCTCGAGTGCAGGTGTCTTTTTTGTAGAGTTCATTGGATCATTTGGTAGATGCCCAGCAATGGGATTGCTGGATCAAATGGTAGATTCACTTGTACGCTTTAAAGGTATCTCCATATGCTTTCCACAGAGGTTGAACTAGTTTACAGTCCCACCAGCAGTGTAGGAGTGTTCCTCTCTTCCGCAACCACGCAGCATTGTTGTTTGGAGATTTTTTGATAAGCCATTCTCACTGGGGTTAAGTGATATCTCATTGTGGTTTGATTTGCATTTCCTGATGATTAGAGATGTGAGCATTTTCATATGTTTGTTGGCCATTCTTCTGCTTTTTAGAAAAGTTTCTGTTCAAGTCCTTTGCCCACTTTTTAATGGGGTTATTTGATTTTCTTCCTATTTTGTGATTCTAAGTATTTCTAGTTATCAGTCCCTTATCGGATGCATAGGATGCAAAAATTGTCTCCATTCTGAGGTTTCGTTTACTTTCATGACTATTTCTTTGGCTGTGAGAAGCTTTGTAGTTGATCATGTCCCATTATTTATATTTTTTGTTGGCTTGCTGTGATGCCTTTGGGGATTCTTCATAAACTCTTTGCCTAGGCCGGATGTCTAGAGAGGTTTCCAACTTTTTCCTCTAGAGTTCTAATAGTTTCATACCTTAGGTTTAAGTCTGTTATCCAGCTGGTGATTTGTGAGAGTGAAAGGTTTTCGGCTGTTTTAGCCTTCTACCAGGTGGCTATCCAGTTTCCCAGCACCACTTTTGAAAGGGATTCTTTTCCAGCGTATATTTTTGTCTGCTTTGTCAAAGAATAGATGGCTATATGAGGATGGTTTTATATCAGGATTCTCACATCTGTTCACTGGTCAATATTCCTGTTTTTGTGCAATACCATATTGATTTAATTACTACAGCTTTGTAGTATAGTTTTGATATCTGGCATATTAATGCCTCCCATTTGTTTTTTGTTGCCTAGGATTGCTCTTGATATTCGGGTCTCTTAGGTTCCATACGAAGCGTAAAATTATTTTTTCTATATCTGTGAAGAATCGCTGATGGATTTAATAGGTATTACGCGTTGATCTGTAGATCAGTTTGGGTAGTATAGACATTTTGATGATCGAGTCTGCTGATCCACGAGCATGGTATGGATTTCCATCTGTTTACATCCTCTGCTATTTCTCCTCAGTGTTTCATAGTTCTCCCTCGTAGAGGTTTTACGTCCTTCGGTTAAAGTATATTCCTAGGTACTTTATTTCTTGTTGCTATTGTGAAGGGAATTGAGTCTTTGATTGGTTCTCAATTAGATGTTCTTTGGCGTATATGAATGCCTCTGATTTCTGTGTATTGATTTTGTATCCTGAGACTACTAAAATTCATTGATCATTTCCAGGAGTTTCTTGGTTGAATCTTTGGGGTTTCTAGATACAATATTCATATCATCAGCAAACAATGAAGTTTGATCTCTTCTGCCCTATTTGATACCTTTGATTCCATTTTTCCTGTTGATGCTGTGCAAGGACTCCAGCACTAGTTGAACAGAAGTGAGAAGATACGTGCTTGTCTGGTTCAGTTCTAAGGGAATGCTTCAGTGTTTCCCATCAGTATGATGTTGGCTATGGGTCTGTCATATATGGCTTTGTATCATTTTTAGGTATGTCCCTTCTATGCTATTGTCTTAAGTGTTCGTATCATGAGGAAGGTATGAATTTTTCCAAAAAGCTTTTTCTGCATCTATTAAAGAATCATGGTGGCTTTGTTTTTGCTTCTGTTTATGTGGAATTGCATTTACGATTTACGTATGTGACCCCTGCATCCCCTGGATGAAGCCACTTGGTGTTGGATTATTTTTTTGATAGTGTTGGATTCGGTTAGTAAGATTTTTGTTGAAATTTTTTGCTCTATACATTAGGGATATTTGTCTGTAGTTTTCTTTTTTTGTTGCATCCTTCCTGGTTTTGGTATCAGAGAATATTCGCATTAATAAAGGTGTCGGGAGTTTCGTTCTTCTCGATGTTGGAATAGTCTGAGATAGGTACTAGTTCTTCTTTGTAAGATGGTAAATCAGGTGAAAGCCATCTGGACCGGCTTCTCTTTTAGGGATTTATTTTTTTTTTGAGACAGAGTCTCACGGTTGTTGCCGGCTACAGTGAG